AAAAAAAAAAAAAAAAGAAAGAAAAAGAAAAACAAGTTAAGGAGCGCATTTAATCACGTGGGGCACCAAACCACGAGATGTGGGCCTATTTGTCAAGACTAAGAAAGTAGCTGTACAAATCTCTGCTAGGGAGAGAGATGTCCTCAAGCCCCAGGAGGCAGCTCGGGTGGCTTGGTGGTAAGGAGTTAAGCTGGCAATCCAAAGGTGCGCGTTCAAATCCACTTGTTGCTGGTCCAATGGTCAGCTGTTGGCTCTGACTCCACGGTATGTAACAACAGCCTGCAGGAGAGTTAAAGCAGCTGAGTTAGCTCTGGCAGCTGCGTGGTCTCTGCCGGGTGGATTAACCTCCCTGAGTTCTTCTGCTCTGTGACATGAAGAGGGTTAGAAAAGATCATTCCAACAAGGCTCCTCCCGATTCTCAACTTGTGAAGCTGTTGTTTTTGTATTGTTAGGTGCCGTCGAGTTGAGCGACCCTATGAACAAAAGATCTGAACACTTTCATCCACACACGTCCTGACACACAAGAGCCCACTGCAGCAGTCACCATGTCAGGCCACCTGGTTGAGAGTCTTCCTCTCCTTCACAGGTCCTCCACCTTTCCAAGCATCCTGTCCTTCTCCAAGGAATAGCCGCTCCTAGTAACATGTCCAAGTGAGGTGAAGTCTCATCATTCTTGCCTCCAAAGAGCACTCTGGCTGCACCCTCTCCAAGTCATAGCTGTTTGTTCTCTTGGCCGTCCATGGGATGTTCAGTGCTCTTCTCCAACAACAGCTCAAAGGTGTCAATTCTTTTTCTCGTCTTTACACATCTCTAAACATTTCTAAATAAGATTTGTACCTCAATTATTTGATGGCAAATTGTCATGGTTCGTTCTTCAGGCTAATCTGTATTTGCACCTATCACTCTTTAATATTTTTTTTATTGTTATGTAATGTTGAATTGGATTCGACTGGCACAGGAGGAGATTGCCCCTCCTCCAGCAGAGCATCCGGTGGATTTGAACCACGCATCTTTGGGGTTTCAGCACAGCTTCTTGTCACTAGGCCACCAGAGAGCCCTTAACGTATCACTCTTGACCTAGATAAATACAGAGATGGCCATCTGTTTTATGGAAGCACTGGAAGGATTTCAAGTAAGATTGCCCAGTGCTGGAAGGCTGGGGTGGGAGGAAGAAGGATGTGCCCCCAGAAGGCTTCCTAGAGGGGATCGAGGTTCAATCTCTTTGAAATGCCATGTCCAGACCTTCAGGGCAGCTATGGTAAGTGTGTTTGATGGGGTCACCTCTCCATCCTAGCCCACCCACCTTGCAGTGAGTGGCAAAGATTCTGGGTTAAACCACCCCAGGAGGGCAACTTGGAGGAGGAGGTTATTGTTGAGGGTTCCCACCACCTCCCGGCCTCTGGGAATGGCAGCTTTGTCCCAGAGGATCACCTCTGATCTGAGAGTGTCAGAGTTCCCTGATGAAAGAGGCGAGCTCTTGTCCAAATGGACTCATCACTTAGCAGGGGTGGACAGCATACAAACACTTACCAATAGTAATAAAAATGAGCCGGGTGATTAGATGGGATAAGGAAAAATGCAAAGAAAATTATTAAATCATTTGGTTCAGGATGTCTGCTGATGGTGGTGGGTGGAGGTGCTATTAGCTGAAAGAGTAAAAGTTAACTTATAAGGAGAAAGTGTCAGTTTATCTGGCCGCATAGCCTGCTGGCACACAGGGTAAAGCTTAGTCCGTAGAGAGCTGCACTGCCAACCCAAAGATGGTGCCTCGCTGGAACTTTGAACCAACAGCTGCTCCTCAGAAGAGAGACAGGCAGTCTCCTCCCTTGTGATTTACAGCCTCTGAAAACTCCCTGGAAAGTCGAGTACGAGTCTGTTCTGACTCAACAACAATGAGAGTGCAATGTTGGCTGGCGAGGCATTGGTACCGGGGTAGAATTCTCCTCTATCGATGTGGTTTTCCAGTCCCTGTCAGTGCATTCTGTGTACAGACACCCACAATTATGTAAAAAGGAGGGTAGGCAACCTGAGGATGGCCGAGTCTGACTTTTACCAACTCCACAAATGGGAACTGTCCCCTTCAACAATATCAATAGTACAAAACTAATTCCTAGAAGGTCATAAATGGTCTCTCATGCTCGTGCATCTACTTCTGCTAATCCCAACACCACGCTTACTGCACTGCTAGGTCTGAAATCCATTGTAATGACTACTCAGACTTCACAAAAACATATTCATGATTGTGGGGTTTCTTAAGGAAATTAATAGCAGTTCTCTAGCAAGCTTGAGTGAAGGCCTCTGGCTCAGGTTTTGTGGGGCAGCCGTCCCAAGTCAGCTGTGTCCCAGGTCGGTCTCTGGTTCTCTGCTGAGGTTGCTGCTGCTCTTGTGCAGATCCTGGCCAGGCTGGCGAAGGAATCGCTGGCCCCAAAGGACACATGCTGCTTCCTTGTCTTTGTTGTTATTGAGGTTCCCAATTTCTGCTATTGAAGCTGCTTGATTTAAACTTGGTAGAATGGTGAGACTAGACAATCCATCCCCTTGTGGCTAGATTAACAATCTATTTGTATGATGCAACCTATTCATATGGCAAAGTCAAAGTCAATGGCTAGCAAAACCATTTTGAACAAAAACACCATGACCCATCTGTCAGTGGTGGATTGCATAGTGCTACAATGCTGAATGAATTTCAGCAGTGCTTCTAGACTAGGGTCGACTGAACCCTGCCCTGTTCTGTGCCATCCTTATCAACTCTGACACACTAGAGCCATTAGAGTCACTACGCCAATTCATCACATGGAGGATCTTCCCCTTCTTCCCTGGACCTCCATCTTTCCAAGCACATTTCCAAGTTCTTTTCCAAGGACTGTTGTTGTTGTGTGCTGTCGAGCTGCCTGTAACTCATAACGACCCTATGTACAACAGCTCTGATGCCTGTCCTGTCCTGACCAGTCTCACTGACTCTGACACACCTACCCTCATTGCCCTAGTTCCTGTATCAGTTCGTCTCATCCGGGGTCTTACTCTCCTGCACTGACTTTCCACCCTTCCAAGCATGATGTCCTTCTCCAAGGATTGGTCCCTCCGGATCACATGCCCAAAGTATGTGAGATGGAGCTTCAAAATCCTAGCATCCAAGGAGAAACTTGCTTTCACCATCTCTAAGACAGACTTATTTGTTTGTTTGGCAGTCCATGATATGTTCAAGACTCTACTCCAGCACCACAACTCAAAGGCATCAATTCTTCTGTCATGCCTAGTCAATGTGCAGCTCTCTGATGCACAGCAATTAATTGCAAAGACCATGGCCTGGATTAGGCACATCTTAGTTTCTAGACTGACATAGTTATTTCTCAGTACTCTGGAGAGGTCCTTGACAAGAGATTACCCAATGCAATTCGTCTTTTTATTTTCCTGACTGCTGGTGCCAAGAGTGTTGATTGAATCATTGGAATTTCAATATCAGCAGAGAAAACTAGGCCAGGTGCTGATTGTGGAACAGATCATCAGCTACTCATATGCAAGTTCAAATTAAAGCTAAAGAAGGTAAAATCAAATCCACATGAATAAAAATTTGACCTTGAGTCTGTCCCACCTGAACTTAAAAAACAACTCAGGAACAGGTTTGAGGTCTTGAACACTTATGAACAGAGACCAGACAAGCTGTAGGAGGATATCAAGAATATTATTCACAAAGAATGAAAAGATCGTTAGAAAGACAGAAGAAGAAAAGGCCAAAATGAATGTCAGAAGAGACTCTGAATATTGAAGTAGAGCCCTGAGAAGCCAAAGAAAAGGGAAGAAATCAAGAAGTTAAAGAGCTGAATAGAAGATTTCAAAGGGTAGCATGGGAAGATAAAGTATTAAAATGAAATGTGCAAAGAACTGGAGTTTGAAAAGCAAAAGGGCCTAACTTGCTTGGCATTTCTTAAGCTGAAGGAACTAAAGAACAAATTCAAACCTCCAGTTGCAATACTTAAGGATGTTATGGACAGAATATTGAATTATCTAGGAAGCATTAAAAGAACATGGGAGGAATATACAGTCACTGTACCAAAAAAAGAATTGGCTGACACAGAAGAATTTAAAAAACAACATATGATCAAGAGTTTTAATGGTGATGAAGGAGGACGTTCAGGCTGCTCTCTGAAGGACTTGGCAAAAAAAGAAAGCCTCAGGTATTGATGGAATACCAATTGACATTCCAAGGACTGGCCCCTCCTAAAATGCCCAAAGTATGTCAGATGAAGCTCCACTGTCCTGTCTCCAAGGAACACTCTGGATCCAC